TTTTTTTTTTTTTTTTTTTGTGGTAGTGGAAATAAAACGGAAACAATTTTTGGTATTGATCTGTTAATAAATCCCTGCAATCACTACTGGAATTAAAGTTAATAAATTGATGTTTGACAATATCATGTTTATAAGATGTGAAATCAAAGTATTAAATCCTTTTTGCGTGTCAAGTGAAGAAATAATCTTATCATTGGAGATTTGGATATTAACAAGAACGAAATATATGATACATATAAGAATCACAATAAAGAAAACTCACCTTCTTCATTCTAAACAAATGAACAGCTATTAAAAAGATGAGTGAACCTCTCTGGTTAACAGATCAATCCTCTCTAACTGGAATCTCATTCGCTCATAAAAGAAAAATTATCAATTGTTAATTTCGAAGGGTTCTTCACGGCTAATGTAAAATCTGGAAACGAACAATTACTGTAACTAAATCAGATGATTCAAATAGATCGATAGTTTCGTAATGATGCGTCAATGAAATACAAATCAACGAAATAAAACGAATCGAATATGTAAATATGTAACTGTCGAGTTACACGAGACGTTGTAAATCGTAGTGGATTAAAATTCATAACGTCGAAATACCAGGGAAGCACTTTGCAACAGAGCTGTTCCATCAGATTCCGCGTCGTGTTCCTCGCCTCGTCGGATGGAAATATTTTTTAACGAGAATGGGAAATATCCGAATCACTGACCCAGATTCTCTCTCTCTCTCTCTCTCTCTCTCTCTCTCTCTCTGTATCTATATGACGTTTCTCTTTCGGACGCAACAGCCGGCCACCACGTCGACGCCGCAATTTTCGTGTGGAAATTCACACTTCGTTCAACAGCCGATTCAGTTTTCCGTGTTCGGGGCCGGTCGATCGTCCACCGTACAGAAATTCCGCCAATTTGCCGCCGCGGATCATCGAGTGTCATCGAAATCCAGCACGCTTCCGGTTGCCTGGCCTGGCCAATTCTTCTGTTGCACGTGTAGCCCCGCTTGTCGAAAATTAGCCAGCATGCATTGATATAAGTTCCCTGCGTCGCAATTGTATTGTTGGATGTATGAAGGACCATTTCAAAACACTCTGGGCGTTTATACTAATTATGTATTATATTTTTCTATATTAATATTCCACATTATCGTATATTATTGTAATTTCCGTATTATTCTGTAATATGCGCGAGAGTTAACATTTTGCTATTATTCTGTAATATTTTATATGCGAGTGTTTTTATATTTTTTTTTTTTTTTTCTATTCTAACACGTAACTCAGAGTGTGTGAACGAAGCTATTTGAGAAGAAATATGGAATCTGGGATTTTAATATTATAAACTTCGCTGTATATCAATGTCACTAAAGTCCTTCTTACATCGAACGACACAATTGTCTTTTCCCAGAGAGAAGCTTCTACAAAATGCACTTTCGAACACCTTTTTTGTCAACGTGAATGAACGAATCTCGTGCGACAACGACGTGTCTTCCTTTTTGCAAACGTGTAAATACGATCGACGAATGGTAGAGGAAGTTCGACAGAAATTTGTTTAGAAAGACTAAAAGCGAGATGTAGAAAAAGAATTGTAATGGATAAACGTGGCCATCGTAAATTTAGTTTACATAACGCTGATATGTTCGTTATTAAACGAAAGATATTATTGACCGCTTAAAGATATATGTAATTGGTATTAACATTGATGCGCAAATATGTAAAGAAGCAATATAAATTTTATAGCTTGAAATTATTCTACGGAGAAAGTGTAAAAACAGTAAAAATATAAAATACCCAGAAAAATATTGAAATTAAATTTCTTATCACTCAAATGAATTTTTATATAGCTACGAAAATGAAACATGGAGATTCATAGTGATGTTGTACAATATATAATACAATTACTTCATAATTCAATAATTTGAACTACCACTAAAATATTACCAAATTAATAATGCGAAAGTTCAACACTTTTTGACAAAATTTTTTAAATACAAAAAAAAAAAGAAAAGGACACAATCCTTAAGCGGTCAAGAAATATTCGCAAGTTACGTCTAGGGATAAATCGTTCAAAATTCTTCCTTGATTTTTGATGATAGAGGAATTTTCATTAGTTTGCCAACGATCGGTGTACACCAACGAATAACTTTGTCCGTTAATTAAACAATTCCGCGCTGCGTGAACCAGATAAAACGAGGGGCGAACCGGGTTTGATGGAAAATTGCGAAACCGTCTATATTTCCGCGCGTCAACCATATTTTCCCACCGATCAATCGTCAGTTTTATTACTCATAAATAAGGGCGGCCGCGCGTTCACAAAATCGTTTGTTACGCTTCCTCGATCCACCGATCACGCCGATCGTAGCGACACGTTTTCAATGGAGGGACACGCCCCGGCCGGTGATTTATGAATTTTCGTTTGGAAAGGCGAACGTGATAACCAGCGCGACGAATAAACTCGACGGGGATTGTAGAAATATAACGTACGGTGAGGGGAGGAAACTTTTCATCTCCACCTCGTCAGATCGATTGGCTTCGAGTAGTATCATTCTCGTTCGATTCGAAATAGAAATGACGAATCATCTGTACGTCTAAAATTACATATCCACGTATATTATT